TATTTCCTATAATCATAGTATGACAACGTTGTCCAAAAAACACGGACCCACCGACAAGATAACCTACCGGCTACAACCGCGCTGTAATTAGAATATTGACAACTTAGTGTTGGGGCAACGACACTGCATTTCTTCCCACGGCCTTTGACATAATTCCTTGCTCGTCACGAAGTTTAATATAAAACAAGAATGAGAATTTCAACTATATACAAATAATACACCTTTCATTGAAATTGAACTTGAATAATATACTGCCTTGCCTGCCAGTGGCAGTGCCTACAAATTAATCCTTGAGAAAATGGGGGCTAAAAAACTAAACTAGTCTAAAAGCTGTCACTTTGTTTAAAAAATATGCCGGATTCTTTGTTGTAATCTATCTGTAATACGTTTCAGGCGGATATATGCAACCCCCCTTGCACACTTCGTCAAACTGTCATTAAATTAATAAATTAAGAAATATTGTGAGACGTGCCCAGAGCTAGAGTAGAGTAGTAGAGATTCAAGTTTAATTTAATCTTTCCTTCCCCAAAACATGTCTTACTTACCTGCTGCTTCTTGCCATTAATCCCATATATGATCTATCCATCATCATGAATTTGCCTAAATACGTTTTAGTACTACTAGTTGTTATGATGTTGATTTTTTTGAATCCATTGTCAACCATGAATTTCGTTGCATCGGTATCTTCTGAAATTGATGAATACTACCCAGAAGAAAGAGAAGCACTATTGAAGCTGAGAGATTCTCTAAGCTCAAACTCAGATTTGCACGGGAATTGGACTGGTCCTCCATGTATCAATAACAGCAGCAGATGGGCTGGCATTGCTTGTTCAAATTGGCATGTTGTTCACATTGTCCTGCAAGGAATTCAGCTAGCAGGTTCCCTTCCACCTTGTGCATTTCTACATAACATAACTTTCTTGAGCAAACTTAGCCTTAGAAACAACACACTCTCCGGCCCTCTTCCAAACCTCACAAACCTTGTCTACTTGGAATATGTGGTTTTGTCCTACAACCGCTTCTGGGGTTCAATTCCTTTGGAGTATATTGAATTGCCTAACCTGAGAGTGCTAGAGTTGCAGAGCAATTATTTAGACGGACACATTCCACCTTTTGACCAACCCACCTTGAGAGCATTTAATGTTTCTTATAATCATCTTGAGGGTCCGATTCCACAAACTGCTGTGTTACAGAAGTTCCCCAAAAGCTCCTACGATCATAACTCAAATCTTTGTGGGAGTCCTTCGGAAACATCATGCCCACCTCCGCCTCCAGTAGTCATTGCGCCATCTCCTTCACCCCTTTCCCCGAATATTCCACCCAAGAAGAAGAACAATCTCCAAGCATGGAGTTTTGCTTTGATCGTGGCTGCTTCAGCGCTGGTTCTGTTTCTCGTCATATTTGTTTCCTTATGTTATTCCAGGAAGGTGCATAGAAAACAAGCAGCAAAGGAGGAACAACAGACAGGTACGTATGCATTAACATTGATCCTATCATGTCCCAATAATTAATTGCATCTTTTTATGTAGTATTCATGTGACTTTAAAGTTGGCGTAGGCTCTGCATTTAAAATTTTGTGTCTTTTGCTTCTTCCGCTTCGTTTGTCTCCAAATACAAATAGGAGATGGTACTTCAGGGTGGGCACAAACGAAAATGCCTCATTTGGAGAGCTTGGGGGATCCTGAAAAGAGGGTTGAGTTGGATTTTTTTGACAAGGAAATGCCAGCAGCTTTTGACCTGGATGATTTACTAAGGGCATCTGCACAAGTGTTGGGCAAGGGGAAACTAGGCACTACATACAAAGTAACACTGGAATCGGGTCCTGTTGTGGTGGTGAAGAGACTTAAAAACATGAATGAGTTGAGCAAAAAGGAATTTACCCAACAGATGCAATTGCTAGGGAATATGAGGCATGAAAACCTTGTACAGATTCTCTCTTTCTACTATTCCAAGGAGGAGAAGCTGGTCATCTCTAAGTTTGAGTCTAGTGGCACTTTGTTTGAACTTTTACATGGTCAGTTTCAATAAGTAATATTCTCTTCCATTAATCAGCAAGCTAGCTAGCTTCTATATATACAAACAAATATAATTAATAGTTAAAAATATTGCATGAAAATCACAAGAATAATATATATAAATTCAAGTACGTTGGTATCAAATATATCTTAATTAATTTGGGTGCATCCATGGATCCGATGCTAGAGAACAGAGGAGTTGGAAGAGTACCTTTGGATTGGGCAACAAGACTATCAATAATCAAAGACATAGCAAAGGGTCTCACATTCCTTCACCAATCCTGGCCTTCACATAAGGTCCCTCATGCCAACCTGAAATCGTCTAATGTACTAGTCATCCAGCGAAGCAGCCAAACCTACCATTTGAAGCTTACAGATTTCGGATTCTTACCACTTGTGCCCTCTCGAAAGTACAATGAAGATCTAGCCATCGGCAAGTCACCCGAGTTTGCTCAAGGGAAGAAGTTGTCACAGAAATCCGATGTCTATTGCTTTGGTATAATCCTATTGGAGGTCATCACTGGCAGGATCCCAGGTGAAATCTCACCGGGAAATGATGAAACGATGGATGATCTTTCTGATTGGGTTAGAATGGTGGTGAACAATGACTGGTCCACAGATATTCTGGATGTAGAGATACTGGCAGCAAAGGAAGACCATGATGAGATGCTGAAGCTCACCAAGATTGCACTAGACTGTACAGACTTGACACCGGAGAAGCGGCCAAAAATGATTCAAGTGTTGACAAGAATAGAAGAGATTGACTGAAGAAGATCCAAGGGATTGGATCAATGATTATCTTTCATATTCCTTTCCTGTATTACGAGCTCTTCGAGCCATGATAGATAATTAACTAGTACGTACAGGCCAGGCCTCCATGGCTATGAATGTATATATTCCTAGGCATGACCCGCCGAGTTAGACAACTTCAATGATTCTTTTGGCAGAATGTAGAAAAAACAGAAAAAGATGAATGTTTAATTTAATTAAGAATAATGCTACTTTTACCATATTTGCATATCACATTCTCATACCACCTTACGTGGCAGATGAAGTGGACAACACATCAATTAAAATTAATTTAAAGTTTTCTTATCTTTTATAATTTATTGACACTTTTTAATTGATATGATTGTCCACTTCATCTGCCACATAAGATGATATGAAAATGTGGGATATAAATGTAGTAAGTATAGCATTACTCTTTAATTAAATCCAGTTTATAGTAAGGCGGGAAAGGTGAGGTGAGTAATAGTATTTTTATTTGTAACATTTGGTTTAGTCTCTAGTATTCAGTTGGATTAGTGTTGATCGTGACCAACTATAAAAACCTATCTATTTATTTGTACGCCTATCTATTTTTCTACAAATTTATCACTTGTCTGATTGTAATTTTGACACAACTAGCTCCACTACCTGTCAAAAGAATATCATTGAGTCATTAGTCTTATCCGGTTTCACTGAAGAAGAGACCTTTTATTTTCTTCAAAAGCAAGCAAAAATCTATTGATAAGAAGAATGAGCCTAAATATAAGTGCCATACACAACCAAGGAGGAAAGGCAAAGGGCTTTCCGTTTTTATCTTTTCTAAGAGCATCTCCGGCACTAGGCCTTTGCCCTGGCAACAGGCCCCCCCAAGCCCAGTTTCATACTCCAGCGCAGTAAATTCAGCCCGGACAAGGCATGGGATCCACCAGACCGGGCAAGCCCACAGGCAGAAATTGGCTGGGCTGTTGCCCGCGGGTTGCTAACGTCAGCAGCTGATTTTTTTTAAATATTTTTTTACTGTTGGATCCAGCAGCCCATATTGCCCAATGGTTACAAGCCACGTGGCTTCTCCTGGAGCCTCCGATCAAAAAATCTTGCACAATCCAACGGTTATCCAATTTTTTGCTTAAAAAAATTGAAAAAAATATCAAAAAAATTCTGGACATTTTTTCTATACATACCTACCAATATTATTCATTTTCCACACCAAATTTAATTTCAAAATTTTATCCGAAAATGTTATCTTGATTTTTAGGTGAGAATTTTACGATAAATATTAACACTTGGGAATCGAAAATCTTATCCGAAAAGCTCATCAAAATCAATGGTTTAAGTATAAAAAATAAAAAATAAATTTAAGTGAATAGTAATTGTCTTAGCCTTAACCTTTTGGGATGGAACCACAAATGGCAAGGCTGTCACTATTCACGTGAATAGTGGCAGCCCTTGCCTTAGCCTTAGCCCTTTGGGGTGGAGATGCTCTAAGGGAATGTCATAGACCTAAAACATGGACACAATTAGGAGAAACTGGTGCCAAATCAAATTAAGAAGAAACTGGTGCATCCAACTCAACTCCCTAAACAAATAGAGATACTTTCCTCTTTGCCAAATCAAAGAATGACTAAAGATAAAAGATTAATTAACTAATTACGAATCCCTCACTATAGGTTACTTAGCGCTATATATAGCCTGTAAGCTTTTTAAAAAAAATAATATTATACAATCGATATTCGGGAGGGAGGAAACCAACAGGAGACCTTGAATACAAAGATAATTATTCTTAATCACTTGAGCAACAATCTTCTCGCAAATATGTAGCTTAGACTATACTAATTATTGAACAATATAAAATCCCACATAAAAAACTTCAAAAAAAAAAAAGAAAAAAAAAAAAAATTTCACTACTAATATCATCTAAACATTTCAAATAAAAACACACACCTAACAAATATGCACTAAATAGAATGAAGGCATGCAAAAGGATGAATTCAAAATAGTGCAAAAGAGATAGAGACCGTTTCGGATGATGCCATTCCATATTCCAAGACATTTTTAGTACGATTTACCAGTTTACACATGATCCCTACGTGTCACTATTCCTGCATAGCGACTGCCCAAGTGTCCCAGGTGAATACAAGCGCTCCTGGCTAATTTAAGACTAAGGGCCTCCACATTTCAAACATGCAAAGACCCTCATCACCGCACTAGCTAGCGATAGCGCTCTCTCTCTCTCTCTCGACTCTAGAGATCTGGATTCTTCCTTTCATGTTGATTTCGTTGTTTGCTAAAGTAGTGGGCTAGCCAAGTAAAGTTAGCTTAATTATTGTAAGCAACCGGCAACCTTCAACCTGCAAGTGGCAGATCATATATTACTATTCCTGGGGAAAAGTTCAAGCACGTAGTCGTAATTAAGAAAGAGAGTGCTGATAATTGCCTTCACCATGCCGCCTCGGAGATATGCCTTTGGGAGGGCCGACGAGGCCACCCACCCTGACTCCATGAGAGCCACTTTAGCTGAATTCGTTGCCACTTTCATCTTTGTCTTTGCTGGGGAAGGCTCTGTTCTCGCTCTTGGTACATATATATATGTGTGTGTGTGTGTGTGGATATAGTGCACAGAATAGTCCTAATCAACCAACCTAGCTTATTGTTGCATATAAATAACCTTCCTGATCAGCAAATTAAATCATTCTGTCTGACAATTAGCAGCTCTATAAAATTAATATGCATGCTTCCTTGCTATTCTTGTACAGATCTACATCAGGCATGCCCTCAATTAATAAAAGTTAATTTCTACATATGCAATAGTTACCTGATCCTCCGCTTATAGGTTTTTTTTTTTTTTTTTTTTTTTTTTGCAACTAATTAATTTTGGCAGGGAAGATTTACAAGGATAGCGGCACATCAGCAGCTGAGCTGATAGCCATAGCTCTTGCACATGCCTTCTCTCTATTTTCGGCCGTCTCAACCAGCATTAACGTATCTGGTGGCCACGTCAACCCTGCTGTAACCTTCGGTGCACTTATTGGTGGAAGGCTCTCTGTTGTTCGCGCCCTTTACTACTGGGTTGCTCAGCTCCTTGGGGCTATTGTGGCTTCCCTTTTGCTAAGGCTTGTCACAAATGGCATGGTAACTAATGAATTATCAAAACAAGCTTGCTGTTTTTTTTTTTGGCCAAAGAATTAGCTTGGTTGCTGTTAATTAATTCATTAAATTGATTTATTCAGAGGACAGTGGGGTTCAGCATGGCCTCTGGTGTTGGCGAGTGGCATGGGCTAATACTAGAGATTGTGATGACATTTGGGTTAGTTTACACCGTGTATGCTACTGCCATTGATCCCAAGAGGGGTAGCTTGGGAACTATGGCACCACTGGCAATTGGATTGATTGTTGGGGCAAATATCCTGGTGGGCGGGCCTTTTGACGGGGCATCCATGAACCCAGCAAGGGCATTCGGGCCTGCACTGGTAGGGTGGAGATGGAGGAACCACTGGATCTACTGGGTTGGACCATTTATAGGAGGTGGGTTGGCAGCTCTCATATATGAGTACATGGTGATACCAACAGAGACCCCCCACCACACTCACCAGCCCTTGGCTCCTGAGGATTACTAGTCTCTAGTCTCTAGCCTAGTACTACTACTTTACTTTACTCTCGTTGTTTGTTTTAGCCACCCACTACCTACTCTACTGTTTAAGTTTTTATGTTCCATTTTCTGTAATCTTCCTCTTTCGGTTTGACAACTTTTCATAAACACCTCATGTCCATCGCATGCATATGTGATTGTAAAGCTAATAAAAGTGTGCCATCGAGTTTCTTTGGCTAATTTCTTGCTCCACTCTTCTCCCCTTCTCCCCCCTTCTCCATTTCTTCCCTTCTGGGTTAATTTTATTCGCACACACGCACACACAGAGGACAACCTATTGCCACAAATTTATTATACACCAACGTTAATGTTAAGAAATGAACAAATGAGTGTTTTCATAAATAGAGCCACAACATTCAGAATCAGAACCACAAGGTTTATAGATGAACAAACGGCATGAACAGTGATCACTACTATTCAGCAAGTTTATGTAACATGAACAGTGATCACCACATATTCAGCAGGTTTATGTAACATGATAACAGATAATCAACATTTTGTCATGTTTGGTTATAAAATCTGGCAACCCAAGGAGCAAGTTGAGTGTTATGAGGTGTTCGTGGGTTGGTAGAGTAATAATCAGACCAATAACAAGGTGAAAGTCTATCAGAAAACTTTCCGTTGCTATAGATACAAAATGGCAACCACTTGTCACCCCCATTCATTCTTCTCTTCCGTTCTCTTGGGTAAGCCAATGGAGCCTGCACATACCTGCATTGTTCATCATTGACTTGAGAGTAACCGCTCATATTATTGGGCACCTTCAGGCTTCATCATTCAGTGTGCAATGCAAACAACCAATTGTGGGCAAGTGTATCACAGTAAGAGATCGATGCTAAAGAAATTAGGCAATGCTAAACTCAACCAACATGAGAATGACTAGTTGATTGATGCTAAATGCATACTTAACTTTACTTCTCACTAAACCAAAAATGGATTTTACTCACTGTATTCTTCTAGTACACACAAGACAAGATCATGAATCTATTCATAGGTTCAGAGGTTTTCTCGGCTATAAATTTTGAAGTCCGTTAGCTAATGTTGCTCATTTGGTTTGTTTAGATGTAATATGTATATCTACATTTGCACGTTTTGATGCAATTATGCTGTCTGCGACCTAGCAATTACTCTTCCTACAAGTAATGTACCAATTAAATGAGTTCAATAAAAATCTGATTCTCATAAAATTGAAAATTAAATTTTACGTACATAAGCTAACATGGAGGCATGGGCGGAACCAAGGCAATGGCTGCCCTTGGCTGTAGCCCAGGAAGGGTTTGGGCATAAAATAAATTAAATATATATAGCATAATATTTTAACTAAAAATAAATAAATATATATACAATTTCAACACCAATAAGCATAGTAAAAGGTCTTCCACATTTGTATTTGGTGTCAAAGTTTGTCCCAACATCAATTTTAAAAATTTTCTATTAATTTGTCTCCAAAAGAGAAGCATTTTACTATAGAAAATGTAAGTACAAAAAAAAAGAATTATCATTAGATTTTAAGCTAATAACTTTAGCTAGCCCACCCATTGAAAAATTTGTGGTTCCGCCCTTGCATGGAGGGCATGCAAGATGATTACTTGCTTACATGGGCCATTACATGTTGGTAAAACAGGATCAACATGCTCCCATGGAGGTGGCAGCAGAATAACTTGGAAGTTCAAACAGCAATTTAAAATCACCATATATAGATTAAACCAGAATATCGTGTTGATAACTCTTGGAGGTCAACATAACCAAGCGAGCTCATTTTCTAGGATGAACTGAATGAAGGTTTTCAGAATGCTTTAGGACCTAAGGTTGTTTCTAAAGTCTGAAAATCTCGTTATCATGAGTCAGGATTCAGGACCCAGGTAGGAATAGTCTATAATAATAAGACATAGGATCATAAACATTGCGCCTTGTCCTCGCATTTTTTTTCTTCTATAAATTACATTATCTAATGTCTCCATAAGAAAGGGACAGAGGTGTAAGAAGAATAGAGCGTGATCGCCACAGATTTACTTAAGCAGTAACTATTGTATTGAAAGATATATCTTTAGATGAAGAGGAATAAATAGCCAAAACTAAAAGCTATAAATTAGAGCTGAGGAATATTTAAAGGAATAATATTCTATATTATAAAAAATACAAATACGCTATATTATGTTATGCTTAAAAAAAACCGAATGTATTAAAAAAAAAAAATACAAGCAGATATGATGTTTCATGATATATATAGTAGTGGGGGATTATGGGACAAAAAATAAATCCGCCTGGTTTCAGACTTGGTGGAACCCAAGGTCAAGATACTTTTTATGAATGTCAACTAAGTATCGTAAGTAAATTGCTCCTGGTTGTTCAATCATTTGATAACCAGAGTCTTTCTTTGATAAATGATTACTATGAGCTGATGCAACATGCATCGCTCATAATTTTCTGTTTCAGTTTGACAGGCGTAAGATGCGTAATTAATGTTCTAGGAATCTGTTTTAAGCAAATATTTTTGTTTTCCTATATCAATTAAAATTGGGAGTTTGGTTTAGGAAGTAAGTTTGTTTTCCTACTTCAGCTGGGGTTTGGAGTTTGGTTTGTTTTCCCCAAGTATAAAAGCTATTTTTATAGCTAATTGTAAGACAATTTTTGACGTTGAATATTAAACTTAGAGAATTCTCTCTATTTTCCTATCAACTTGGTATTATACAGGAATCAACAAGGCATAGAACCCTTTTGTTCTTTGTTATTCTCATCTAGAGAATCAACAAGGATTGAAGGTTTATTGTTTTCTTTTGTATTCTTCATCATTCTTGCTATTACGCGCTGTGTTAGTTGGTAATCAGAGCCAGGTTTGTTTACCGTGCCGCCAAGGAAGTAACTTGGTGGAAACGATCAAGACGATTTTAACCGTGGTGGAGGAATCAATTCAGCCTTTTTTCGTGCTTCTACTCCACTAAGGAATATCCAACACCAAATTGATTTAAGGCCTAGTGCAAGTTTACCTAATAGCCCACACTACTGAATGAGTCCTAAAGAGCACGAAGAATTGTGTCGTCAAGTGGAGGAATTGCTAGAGAAGTGTCATATTAGGGAGAGTATTAACCCTTGTGCCGTTCCTGCCTTGCTCACACCAACGAAAGATGGCACATGGCGGATGCATGTACACAGCCGTGCTATTAATAAAATTACGGTACGGTATCATTTTCCCATTCTTCGTTTAGATGATTGGATCGATTAAGTGGTGGTACAATCTTTAGCAAGCTGGACCTTAAAAGTGGGTATACTCAAATTCAGGTTAGAGAAGGAGATGAGTGAAAAACTGCATTCAAAACTTGCGAAGGCTTGTATGAGTGGTTAATCATGCCCTTTGGCCTCTCTAATGCACCAAGTACATTCATGAGGACGATGAATGAGATGTTTCGTTTGTTTATTGGCAAGTTTTTGGTGGTTTATTTTGATGACATCCTTATATATAGTTCGACACCGGAATTGCATCTTAAACATTTGGAAGATGTCATGAGAGTGCTGCAAAAAGAAAATTTTATGCAGCAGCAAAAAAATTGTTCTTTTATGACAGATAAGGTGTTATTTATTGGCTGTGGTGTCGAAAGATAAATTTTTTATGATGATTCAAAGGTCGACGCAATCAAAAATTGGCCACTACCGCAGAACGTATATGAAGACCGAAGTTTCCATGGGTTAATATTATTTTATAGGTGCTTTATTCATAATTTAAGTACTATTATGGCACCTATAACAGATTGCATGAAGCTTGGGAGGTTTTGTTGATCTGAAGAGGCTACAACTGCTTTTCACAAGATCAAACAAAAGCTTATTTCAACACCCATTTTAATTCTTCCAGATTTTAGCAGGACATTTGAGTTGCATTATGATGCATCTAAAGTTGGGTATTGTGGCTGTTTTAAGTCAAGAAGGACGACATGTAGCGTTTTATAGTGAGAAGCTCAACGGTTTGAAATTAGACTATACCAAATATGATGTGGAGTTTTATGTGGTTGTTCAAGCTCTCAAGCACTGGAGTTCGTATCTGGCTCATAATGAATTTTTTTTGTTTACTGATCATGAGGCCCTGAAGTATATTAATTCACAAGATAAACTCTCTACTCGCCATGCTAAATGGGCATCATATCTGCAGCAGTTCACCTTTGTTCTTAAGCATCAGTCAGGCGCTTTGAATCAAGTAGCAGATGCGCTTAGCCGTAGAGCCAATTTTCTCACGACCATGAGGAGCCATGTGTTGGGTTTTGATTCCTTGCGTTATTTAATAGATACAGACCCGTACTTTGCTCCTATCATACATGATGTGGCAGCGGGTGTACGTTTTAATTTTATGATACATGAGCCTCTTCGCACGCGCTTCCACGCTTACGAGAGGATTTTTTTTTTTAAATTTAAATTTATTTTAGAATTCAAAAAGATAATGGGTAGTTGTTTTCCATAAAAATAAGATTCATTATCTAATTTTTCTTTTAATTTTAATTTTTTAAATATGAAAAAGTGTGAATTTACTATATTATCCTTATTTAATTAATAATTTTAATTATTAATGTTTGGATTAGCCAATGACATTTTCTGGTATTTTGAATGTTTCACCATTCTCTACCTTTTGCTTTATATATATAGAAGATGACTTTTTATTTAAAGTAAATCAGTTATGTATCCCCGAGTCTAGCTTGCGCCTGAAGATTATTCATGAATTGCATAACGAGGGCCATATGGGGAGAGATAAGACAATCCAGCTAGTGATAAATTCTTATTTTTGGCCTAGTATCCGTCGCGAAGTGACCAAATTTGTTGAGAGTTGTAGGGTGTGCCAATTATCTAAGGGTGTTGCAACTAATGCAGGGTTGTACATGCCACTTCTGGTTCCAAATCAGCCATGGGAACATTTAAGCATAGATACCATCCTCAAACTGATGGGCAGACTAAAGTTGTTAATTGATCCCTTGGAAATTTACTAAGAAGCTTGGTGGGAGATAATTTGAAGTCATGGGATCAAAAGTTGAGCCAAGCAGAATTTGCTTTCAATCACTATCAATAGGAGCGCTAGGTTTAGTCCATTTTTTTAACTTATGGCTATAACCCAAAGTGTCCTATTGACCTTGCACCAGTTGCATATTTGAAGTGAGTTAATGTCAAGTCAGAAGAATTTGTGGCTACACTTCAGCAAATTCACTCAAGCGGCTTGAGGATGCCAATGTGAAATACAAGCAAGTGGCTGATGTGAAGAGCCGACATGTCGAATTTGAGGTAGGTGACTTTCTTTGGGCTATCTTGACTAAATATCGTTTTCCAGCTGGGGAATACAAGTGGGTTGCGAGAAAGATTAGTCTAGTGGAGATTGTGGCTAAGATTAATCTAAATGCTTACCCCCTCAAGCTTCCTAGTCATCTACGTACTGCCGATGTGTTCAATGTCAAACATCACTTTCCTTACCATGGTGATAGTTCTAACAATGAAGATTTGAATTCAGGGGTGAATTCTTCTCAACCCGGGGATGATGATGCAGCACGCATCACTAATAATTTTTTGTTTTAGTTTGACAGGCGTAAGATGCGTAATTAATGTTCTAGGAATCTGTTTTAGGCAAATATTTTTGTTTTCCTATTTCAATTAGAATTGGGAGTTTAATTTAGGAAGTAAGTTTGTTTTCCTATTTCAATTAGAATTGGGAGTTTGGTTTAGGAAGTAAGTTCGTTTTCCTATTTTAGCTAGGGTTTGAAGTTAGGTTTGTTTCCCCCAAGTATAAAAGCTAATTGTAAGACAGTTTGTGACGTTGAATATTAAACTTAGAGAGTTCTCTCTATTTTCCTATCAACTTGGTATTCCACTGGAATCAACAAGGCATAGAACCCCTTTGTTCTTGGTTACTCTCATCTAGAGAATCAACAAGGATTGAAGGTTTATTGTTTTTTTTTTGTATTCTTCATCATTCTTGTCAATACGCGCTGCGTCAGAAGCTAAGATAATTCATTACCATTTCAAGAACGACTAATCCTATCATCCATGGTTAAGGGGATAAATCTCCTTTTCAATTCTTACCATGCTAAAAAATGTTGATGTATAATTGATAAAGTTACACTTTCTACTCTATATATAGCCTTCATATTTTTTTGGATTAACTACAGTAAACCCCCCAAACTATGGGAGTCATTACAAACTCATACCCAATGTTTATTGACCCGTTTGACCAGTACACAAACTTCATAAAACCTTACAAAATACACCCTCATTAGGAAAATTGTTAAAAAAATCTGTTAACTCATGATGTGGCAAAATTGAGTTTCAGTTTTACGCAGATGTGGCATCCACAGAGACTGAAAAGTTAATAAAAAAAACTTGTTAAATGAATTTTAAAAAATAAAAAATAAAAAAATAAAAAGCCAGTTTCTCCTTAATCTTCTCCCTCGCCCCAAACCCATACCCTTTACCATCACCTCCTCACCGGACAGCCCCAACCTCCCCACCGGACATCCACCACCCACCCATCATACCTCACAAGCCCACCATCATCCCAGCCACTACACCATACCCACAACCCACAAACCCAGCTCCATCGCAACCCACAATCCCAACCACGCAACAAACTCGAGTGGCTTTGACACCACCGTCTTTGTCAAGGCCATGCCATTGTCTTTATCGCCAAGTTCTTTGCCCACCACAACCTACAAGCCCAGCCCTACAGCAAACCCCGTCTTTGTCTCTCTAGTATAAATCTGGGTTTTGAGATACTTTTGAAAACCCAAGTGGACTTCATCGTCTCAAGGCTAGAATTCGCAGATTCAAATGACGATTTTGAAATTAACTGGAGATTTTTCAAAGAGATATAGATAAGCCTTGTGGTCCATGAAGGTTAAACCACATATCTCCATCAACACTTGAAAATTAGGAAAATTGCTGTAAGAACCTCTCTACCCACACCCTTCCCCCTCCTTCCCAACCCCGTCTCTGACCCACCTTCCCCACTCCTGCCACCATCACCCAAATCCAGCCATCCCCAACAACATTGTCTCTCTCTCTCTCTCTCTCTCTCTCTCTCTCTCTCTCTCTCTCACCAAACAACAATACCAACACCAAAAGCAGCGAAAATAACAAAAACCCTTCTCTGCAATCGAGCAGCACCACAAAACCCAGGTGGTCGAGGGCTCTTCTAAAGCTGGAGCCAAAGGCGCTCAAAAGGACAATAAACTAAAGATATCGGTTTCTTTAACAAAAGAAGAGATTGTCAAAACCCACAACAAACTTGTGAATTCCCAATTTGGTTTGGTTCTAAACCCAGATCCCAAATCACCAAATTTGGGTTTGAGACAGAGATAATGGGGGCAGTGGAGAGCTGAGATGGGTCTGTTGAGGTATTTTTTTGGGGGCTCTTGAGAAAAAAAATCTTGTGGTTGCTGGGTGGGGGCTGTTGTGGCAGTGGCTTGTTGGGTAGGTAAGAGGCGCTAGAGGATTACAGGGGAAGTAGAGAGGTGGACAAAGAGATAGGGTGGTTGATAATGGGGTGGGGTTGCTGGAGATTCGAGAAACAGATGAGGTCTGAGGGAGATTGACGAGATGGAGATTCTTAGTGGTCCTGCCATGGGTTTGGGGGTTGGAGCTTCGTTGGGGTTATGGTTGCGGGCTAGGGTGAAGGGTGGCTGTGGGATGGGTTAGGGGGTTGG